CAGCCATCACATAACCCCACCATTGAAAGAAAATGAGAAGAGGTGGGAAGATTGAAGCCTGTTTACATATTTTACTTCCTGAAAGTCAAGGTGATGCCAGCACAAACACAGAAGGGGCACCCGCTTCCCTATCTTAGGGATTTAGGAAATGGTGCTGCAAACCTAGATAAGGGAAAGAGATATACAGACCTAATGAGGACCAGCTTTACCTCTCAAGTGCTCAGGAACCGTTTTAACAGACAAGGCTGGGTTCTTTGAGGATTCATTCCTTTAACTTAAGACCATTCCCTTCCAGAAATACAGATTTCTCCTTTTTGCATCCAGCTGGCTATTGGGTAGGGAACTAAACTGTGATAATTGTTCTTACTTTTGAAAACGTTGATTATCCAGAATATTGGGTTTTCACTTTTTATTTAAAAGGAAGAGTCTTAAAGAATTTCATTGTCGTTAACACTGGATTTTTGTTTTTATCAGACTGTAGTAGAAACAGAAGCATCTACCTACCTAATTACAATGATCCTTCTCATCATTCATAGATTTAAAAAAAACAGTTCATCTTTGATATTTGCGTCTTTTATTAACACTGGGAAATCACACATATAAAAGTGGTTACTGTGGACTAAGATGCCAATATTTTGATGTATGAGACATCACAAGCCTGTTCTTTTCTTATGCACCCAAAGGAATGTGTCATGTTCTGTTGAAATCTCTAGAGAAAAAGCTTCCAGTTTTCTTGGTGAGGTGTCAGATCTACAGTTGGCTAGTTATATTAGTAAATATCATTTTACTGGTTCCCAGGTCATCTTTAAACATCTTTGCAATGCAGTAGGGATTTCCTGGTAAATTAAATTACCTGTGGCAATACCGGTTCTATTTTATGCTAACTAAGCTTTTAAGGAGATAGATACCCAGATAGGTAGTAAAATCTCAGCTCAAGGAAAGAAGACATAGGTGGAAAACTGGGGTTATTTAGCTTGATTCACTTCAGAGTTAAGAATTTCTCAGAAGATTTAAGCATTAAGCTCTATGAAGTTGAAGCAGAAAAGGGATTCCAGAGAGACGAGTTTGGGTTACAATACTTCAATTCAGTACATATTTAATGCTGCCTAATTCTGGGAAATTCAGAGTCCCTGTGGCAGCATTGCCAAAGGATTTTAATGAGTGTGGAACAGTTGTGAATATGGAGTAGCTTTAAGCTCAATTTTGTCACTGCTGAGAAAACTGGGTTTAAATGAGACATTGTTCTAAGACTGTCCCCTAAAAATGTGAGATTCTGTCACTGTAGCCTAGGGGAGGGCTTAAACTGCCATACAGTTCACTGTTTCCCCCATGTTAGAGTTCATGGAAGAGCAGCGATAGCTGAATAGAGCCTGCTGGAAGGAGAAAACAATGGATGAATAAGTATTTGCAGAGAAGTAAATTTCCATTGGGGCTGTGATAAAAGCAGGAAATTCAGAGTTTATTAAGCTGATGCAGAGGTTAGAGGCTTTTAAATGTGGGTCTGATTGATGGAAAAGTAAACTCTCTTGAAAATACTGAGATTTAGTGCTATAATGAGGATTGTGTGACCAATTACAGACTAGCACCTTGTTGATGGAGAAATGGGAGGCGGAGAGGGCACAAGGAAGTGCTGCACTGAGAGCCAGATGTGGGGTTGGCAGCTTCTAGCCTGAAGCTACTTTGGGGTTCCAGCAGCAATCCTTTATTTAGGTGGGAGTGCTAGGTGGGTCCGGCTTTTGGCCACAAAACCAAAGAAGGTCAGCAGCTGGAGGGACAGGTGTCGGGAAGTGGACACTGGAGTTGGCAGGAGTTTGGAAGCCTCAGAATCTACCTGTTGGGACCCTGGAGGTGTAGGTGAAGGTGTGGTTTAAATATAGAGGGACCGGATCCCGGATCCCGAGGGGCTGGAGCTGAGGGACCAGAGCCTTGGGGGAACAGGAAGAATAAGGACCCAGAGGAGCCATTTCCTCCAGGAGAGTCAAGGCCAGAGACTTGCAGGGGTGTGGGCCAGGAGCCCAGGAAATGGCCAAGGTGGTTTGCACAACTATGCTGTGAGACGGAGACAGGGGTTAAGGTCGGGGGCCGGTGGTGGGAGGGACAGCCGAGTTCTGAGTTCCGAGTTCAAGATCAGAATGCGGGCAACTGCCAGTGTGTGGCTGGCGGGCTCGAGAACTGGGCCGGGGGCGGCGGCCCTAGCGCCCATTAGGATAACCAGCTCACAGAGCGTGGGAGAAACGGGCTGCGGGCCCAGGCGCGGGCTTAGGGCGTTCGAAGGCCACTGCTCCCAGGGCCTCGAGAAGCTTTTCCTTTGGGACGAATTCTAGGCTCACACGTACTTTCCCATCCGCGTCTCGCCAGGGAAAATAGTGGCGAGGAAAAACAGTGGCTGGGAAACTGAGATTCGCCACGCAGTGCCTTTGCTCACCAGGGCGCCACTCTCCCTTCAACCCAAAGAATCCCCAAGGGTCCGAGGTGACCCTCCCCCCTCGCCAAGGCTCGGCCAGCGCTTTCCAGGAGGTGGGGACCTCAGGGCCGCGTCCCCCAGGCTTCGCACCCTCGGGTCCCAGTGACAGGGTCAACAAGACATTTAATTAAATGCTTAATTGCGAATTCTTCCAAGGATTCTGGGAGGTTAATCACAGCTGCCTCGATAATTTATGGCTTTTTGTCAAATTTTCGACCAGATAAGAGGCATATTCTATCTCGAAGCTTCTTGCAGGAAATCTTATAAATACTCTGTGTTCCTCTCTGCTACATCGACCGGCGTCCATTCCCGGGACCAGCAGGGCTCGGAGCTCCTCTGGACTCGGCCCGCCACCTGTCTCCTCCTTCCTTGCAGGATCTGCGGCCCCAGGTGGCCCGGGACTGGCGGCTGGGCGAGTTTGGGGTCCCACAGCCTCCACTGCAGAGCGAACTTGGGGACTCGATCAACGATCAGGAGCAGAGGCTTGGGGGCCAGCGCAGCCGGGGAAGAACCCAGAACCCGGAGCCGGCGGGGGGCAGTGCCCCAGGACGACTTTGCAATTTCCTTCCGTTGAAATCAGACCTTTCATTGCGATTTGTAAAGAAGTGAAAATTGAATATATATAACTCGGCAGTACCGCGAAATGCCTGGTTTAGGTAAATTTGCTCTTTTAAAAAGAAGCTAAGTGTTTTGTTTCGCTCTTCCAACCCAATTTTTTTTTTTTTTTTTTTTTTTTTTTTTTTTTTTTTTTTTTTGTATTTTCCAGTTTGTCCGCGGTAATCTTCAGGGGTTTGGGTCA